AAAAAAAAAAAAAAAAAGAAGTGATGAACGTAAGTATAGAAGACTGTTTTGAGGAGTTCTGCTCTCAAGCTAGTTTCTAGATTAGTAGATATCAAACCAACTAATACAATTACAGAAATGGACTAGAGATTAAGTTTCAAAGCAGAAAAGAAATTGTATTCAAAGCACAGATTTTATTCCCAATCATTAATATGCTTCATTATTAATGTGTTATTTTATTTTCATTTTTTTAGAGATGAGGGTCTCGCTATGTTACTTAGGCTGGTCTTGAACTCCTGGCCTCAAGCGATCCTCCCACCTCAGCCTTCCAAGTAGCTGGGATTACAGACTTGAGCTACTGTGCCCAGCTATTATGTCATTTTAATACTATAAAATATTCACAGTGCATGCATCTATATGCATAAATGAGGAAACTGGGGCTCTTCGAGAGGGTAAATAACCTGTTCAAGATAAACAGTGATGGCTTCTTGGCCTTTTGGCTAAGATCAAGTGAAGACAGACAGTGATAGGGCCAGGGTGGGCCTAGGCAATGTGTTTCTAGAGCCCAAGAAAAAGCACGAAAAGAAGAGCCAGAAAGATGCAAGCAGTAGTAGTTACTAGGGACTACCAGTTAGTGGATTGCCACTGTGAACACGAGTCCTTCTTTTAAACTCTTGGTTACTGTCCCAATTACAGGTCTTTATCACATCTAAAGGGTAATTTTTTAAACACAAATACTTTTTTGAATACTGAGGACAAACACAAACACATGCATCAATTATCACATTTCCAGGTTAATCAACGAACTATCTTAAGCTACGAACCTGACTACAAGATCCATCAGTTTAACGAAACAAATAATTTGGCTGAGAACAGACAGTATTGATGGGGTGTAAACTGCTCAAGCAGGCGGCACGGGGCGCCGTTGCTGTGCAGCAACCCGCACCTACCTGTGGTCAGCGCTGGATTTCTGTCTTCCAGTCCATGGCCTTCTGTTCACAGAGGGAGGCGGGGGAGAGGAGGGCAGGGGCGGGGGAGGTAGAGAGGGCAGGGGAGGCAGGTTTCTTTTCTCTTTCCTGAAGCTGATGCCTGGGTTCCCATCCTTGTCCCCTTCGCTGGCATGTTTGAATGTCCTCCGGGGCTTTGGCAAGGGGTTGATGAAGGGCTTTTGGGGGGATCCCTCCGAGCCCCTGTACGCACTCTCGAGGCTCTGGTCCCCAGGCTTTCCGCATGAACCTTTCCTGTCCTCAGCAGCCTCAGGGGCAGGCACCCTGCCTTCCAGGTCCAAGTGGTGGGCTCTCCGGCTGACTTCTGAGCCTCCCCCGCCTCCCAGGTTCTCAGAGAGGGTGGGTCCCTCCTCTGCCTTGTCAGGCAGGCAGTGTGGGGAATAACAAGTCCCAGGCAACTGGGGATCCAACCCTGCCGACCCATCCTTCAAAGCCTGCTCAAGTTTCTTGACCTGCTTCAGCACCGAGAGGTGATCATTCTGAAAGCGTTTGCCAACCCTCAGCTCTCGGCCCCTGCCCAAGCTAGGATCCAGCACCCTGTCGGGTTGGCTTGGGTCTTGCCTCTGCTCTGGGTCCTGTCCCCCAACTTTCAGTCCTGCTTTATTCCTCTCATTTTCTCTGCTCTCTGTTTCCAGCCTTGTTCCATTCTTAGCCTCCGTGGCCTGAGGTCTCACCCCATCACTACTTCTCCTCCCCACCACACAGGACATCAGATAATCCTCTTGTCCGTCTGCTCTCCTGCCCGGTGCAGGAGTGGGTGACTCCTTCTTCCCTTCCCATTCTGATATCTTATCCTTTATGCTGAGAGACTTGTGCTGGGCTCCAACTCTGGCAGATGGGCGGGGGTTCTGGCCACCTCTGAGCTGCTTCTTCCCGGCCCTGCTGGCTTCTGCAGCTGGGTCACTGATGATCATATTTGAGCTGAACATGTCCACTCTTGACTCTAGCACGAGGTTACTGAGGCTTTCCAGTGTGCTCCTTCTGAAGGGTGGCTCCTGACCAGCCTCTAGGAAAGGAATGAAGGACCCAATTGGTTGCTTTTGAGGGTTTTCCCCAGTCTTTGGATCTTCCACCTTGACCCTGAACAAGAATGACAAACACCGGGTAATAGTTACTGCTCTTGGCTAGTCATAAAGATTTGCTAGAACTCAGATATAAATGTTATATGCAAGTTGCAAACCACAAAAATTGACACTACCATTTAAAAGAACCACTTTATGTTTTTCTTAGAGAGACACCATGGTGGAATGAAAGAAGCAATTGGGTTTTGGAGTACAGTAGTCTTGAGTTTAAATCCTAATTCAACCACTGACCAGACATGTGACCTTAGGCAAGTTGTTTAAGTCCTCTAAACCTCAGTTTCCTCCTCTGTAAAATGGGAATAATAAAACGTATGTAATAGGGTGGTTGTAAACACTTTTTTCTTTTGTTTTATTTACATTAGTCATAAAACAGCTTCTGAGGCTGTAAACATTTAATGAGCCAGCCCACATAAAGTATCTAGCATGTCCTGAGTATACAATAAATAGTGGCTATCATTATTACTAGTTTTTTTGCTTCATGAAAATAGGAGTGATTTCATGAGGTACAAGATTAAATAGGCTGTTTCCCCTGCTTTTGTTATTCACAGGTGGTTCTTTGCAATGACTATCTGAAAACTAAAACAATGCCACAAGTCCTGAAGTTTCTGTTAATTCTGAGCTGGATAAATTGTCCTGATTTAAGTGGGTAAAGCCACAATGATCAGGTGCATTTGAACTGAACCTCTTCTGGAATGACAGCCTTACTAGTGGGAACTCTCTAAGAGGACAGGGATTGTTTTGTTATTTTGGCCTGTTGTGGCTACTGCTGCATCCCTAGCACCTAGAACAATGCCTGGCAGAGTAAGTGGTCAATAAATATCTGTTGCATGAATGAATGTGTGAATAAATAGGTAGATTTAGATTTCACACGCTGTCCAACACAGTAGCCACCAGCCACATGGGGCTATTTAAACTTAAATCCAATTAAGTTAATGCTTCAGTTCCTCAATTGCATCAGCCACATGTCAAGAACTCAGAGGCCCCATGTGGTGAATGGCTGCTGTGTTGGATGGAGCAGAAGACTATTTCCATCACCGCAGAAAGTTCTGGCCTAGAACATGTATGTGAGGTCACATGCCTCTAAATGCAATTTTAGTAGATTAGTTAGTGCCATGAAGATACTAAAGATTATTGTGAAAGAGAAACATTTTTAAGCTAGTCTAACAAGAATGAGAGTATTTATCTGCATTTTGCAATGGAAAACATTCCTCCACCAGTAAAGGTTATGACTGAACACAGTGACTTTAGATGTGCCAAGATTAGCGAACACATAGAAACCAACTTCATGGTGCACATTTTCTGATTACATAGATCTGACCGAATAGGAATTATGAAACTCCAGGCAAGGCTCATGGGGATGAATAATTAGCAATTTCATGCATCCTGTTACTATTTAGCTTTCTATTCCAAAGACTACCCGTTGTTTACATAAAGATATCTTCCTCAGC